GGTGCGCTATTGCACGAGCTCGGGACGGCGACGGCGGCGGCGACCCCTGCCCAGTCGGATGCCGAGCGATGGGCAACTGGCACCGAGCGTGCGAGGCTCCTCCGAGACGCTGATGCCCTACGTGGGGGATCGGGATCGGCGGATTGCAAGCAGAGTTGAAGTCTTTCGGGTACTCGGCTTCCTGTTCTGGGTCGGAGAAGGGTGTTTTTTGTCGCTCGGGCATTTTATTCGGGCCACTGCCAGAGTCGGGTTCTTCTTCACGGCATCGAAGGGGGGTTGGTTACAGTTCGGCTGAGCCTGTCCCAGGCCCACGGGGCAAGCAAGGCATATTGTTTGCTTATTCTTGTTTGTGGAACTGTGTTTGTTTGATATCAGAGGCGCTCTTGCGGTTTCAATTCACTTTGTTTTCGGGCTCTCATCTCGCCCCTGGACATTGACAGCTGGAGGGACATGAGCGTCTCGCGCAATATGGTGAACGGCTACTCTGTCCTGGTGCGGGGCTTCCTGGTCATCGCGGCCCCCGTCGTGGTCAAGGGGTGGAGTGCCCATGTACGTATTGCTTCGCAATCTCTCCGAGTTCCTCTGAGCGGACAAAACTTAATCGTAACCGACATGGTCGCAATATCCGTAACTCCGTAACTCCTCCTCCTCCTCCTCCTCCTCCTCCTCCTCCTCCTCGTCCTCCTCCTCCTCCTCCTCCGCCTCCCACCCGCCTCCCACCTCCTCCTCCTCCTCCTCCTCCTGCTCCTCGTCCTCGTCCTCGTCCTCGTCGTCCTCCTCCTCCCCCACCTCCTCCTCCTCCTCCTCCTTGTCCTTGTCCTTGTCCTCTCCTCCTCCTCATCCTGCTCCTCGTCCTCATCCTCATCCTCCTCCTCCTCCTCCTCCTCCTCCTCCTCCTCCCCACGAAGCTTGGGGAGTCGGAGCAGGGCGTGTTGAGACAACGGCAGCTCAAGGTCGATCTTTGGACCCCTCCCGGGGCCTCCCGGGGCCAGCGCACCAGCTTCCCGAGCTGCGTCCAGCCGTGCCACCCACCGTTGCCTCAGCTCGCCCTCCCCTGCAGATGCCACCCCCGGCGAAAGGCCGCTCCTGCGTGCCATCAGCCGCGTGGTGGGCCGCCGGAGCGCCGCGGGCTGGCGGAAGGGAGGGGGGGTGGCACCCGGCCGGCTACCGGGGCACGCCGGCTGTCGACCAGGGCCCCGGGAGGCCCATCGGGCGAGTTGAAGTGGCCCAGGCCCGGCCTGGCCAGCATCTCGGCCCAGGTACTCACTTCCGAGGTCGGAGGCCTCGAAAATGGGGTCCGAGCAGGTGGGGGCGGAGGATCGTGCCGCGTCGCCCATGCATCGCAGATGCATCGGCGTCGCTGACGTCGAGAAATCGGCCCCCACGTCGAGCAGCATCGCCGAGGCATCGGCGTTGCAGCGGGATTCTCCGACCCCATCTACGGTCGGACCGAGGTATAAGACCGGGGTCGGTTCCTACCCTACTGTTCTTCGTGTTTGTTGGATGTTCCTGTGTATCCTGGATCTTCCTGTGCATCCTGTCCTAGGTCCGACTGTACTCGGACCCCATTTGGGAGGCCTGGGAGGCCTGGACAGCTGGCGTCCCCCGAGGCTAACCTCTGCACTTATCCCGAATCTGCATGAGCACAAGCGGCTGCGGACGGATCGCCCCATCGCACACGCGTGACTCGCGGCTTGCCATCGCTCGGCATCCGTTCCCCGAGCATCTGTGGGTTTCGTGCGTCTGTTCTCTCGATGATCCAGGATGCTCCTGGATGGTCCCCGCCGAGGAAAAATGCACACATCCAAGCGATGACAAGACGGCGGCGAGAGGCGTGCTCAGACAATCTCACGAGGCATCTCACGATCGCAGAGCTTTGGTTCGGCGAGGCGCGCCTCTTGCGGGAACCCGAAGACCAGCACGCCGAACAGACATTGAAGGTCTTACTTGCCCAACCTGACCTGGCCACACGGGCCATAGTAGAAGCGGTGCAGCCTTGGCCTATCCGAGGCCATCGAGCCGATCCGAGGTCGCGTCAGCCTCGGATGACGCAGAAAGGCTGTCCGAAACGCCATCTGGCCATCTGGACCCCACGCATTCTTTCATTGTGAAGTATTGGATGGGGAAGAGAGAGCACGGACACCTAAAGACGACGAAGTCGGCAACATAGCAAACATAACATTCCAGAGCTCACCTCATGAACCGTGCACTCAGGACAACTGCGTGGACAGAGGTGGCACCTCCCAACTGGCTCTGGGCGAAAGCCCCTTCACGATAATTCTGAGATGGAGCCTGAGGAGGCCCCTGAGGAGAACTCCCCAAGGGAACGTCCCTGAGGGGAACGCCTCTTCTTCTCCCTACTCCTCCCCCGCCCCCTCTCCTCCTCCCCCTCCGCCTTCCCCCTCCTCCCCTTCTCTGGCTCGCAACACAGGATACGCCCCGAATTCACTCCTTACGACATCTACCTAAGTATTCCAACGCACTGGGCTTCAAGCGCTTCTATGTTTTCATGTTTTCACTCGGGACGCCTTCGCTGCAGCGTTGGCACCGTTGGAGCGTTAGCCCAATTTCAGGATCGGGACTCTGCGCTCATCGTTCAGGCTGGCGAGCTTGCCCTAGCAAGGGTCACATTTCTGCACCCGACTCCTTCTTCGTCGTTGTCGCCCCACCCTTTCCCCTCCTCCTCCGCCCTGCCCAGGTCCTCCTGCTCTTCACGCTCTCACTGCTCGTGCTCCTGCTGCCGCTGCAGCCGCTGCTCCTCCTTCCTTAGCAGTGCCTTCGCCCTGCTCGTCCTCATACTCATGCGCCACCTCCTGCTCCTCCTCCTGCTCCTCATCCTCCTGCAATGTGCAGAACTATCCTATCTGCTATGGGCTCCTTCGGGGGAGCCAGGTCCGCGTGGACACCCCTTGGTAGGCAGAAAGCAGCCAGCGCAATGGGAAGGGATGGGTGGGAGGATAGGAGTCATCCCCTCCATGCGGCTACAATGGGACGTCTGAGTAGGTCGAGTATGATAATGCAACGCATCGGCAAACACAATAGTTTTGTACTGTTCCTTGCGCAGACGCGTCTGAGTGAGAACACATGCCCTGCCCGTAACATCAACCCTCACCTGTGTACTCGGTGGGTGGTCCATTATCCTGCGGCTGTTGTGTTGCGGCCGGCGGGGTCTCGCATGACTCAGCATGAGATCTTTTCGTACAGCGCGGTCGGTGCATTGCATGTTTGGCTTCCAACCATCGCAAGTTCGAGCTGTATAAAGCCCCGTGCGTTGCCCCCCCATGGGTTCGGCTATACACTTCTGCGTGATGGCAAGTCTGTGTTATGTAAACGATACGGTTCGCGTTCGTCCACACATGTCGGTAACCTGCACAACATGTGCCGCTGTCGCCCAGCGTCCACCGCTGCCAAGTAAAGGCTTGGCAGGTTGATTCAAGGACTGGACCCCAAGATGATTCTGTCCAAAAATCCTGTTCTGCCAATGCTAACACGGCTATGCGACGAACTAAAGGCACCACATGATTGTCTCCTAGCCCTGCCTTGGTCCCCAATATCGTCCCGTGATGCTGAGTGCACAAGAACGCTCATCAACGGGAGCATGGTAACGAGCCGTGGACGCGGGACCTGCTTCTTCGGAGGCAGGCCACCGTCCTAGTCAACTCCTCCTTCTCCGCCTCCCCTCCCCCATTTCCGCCCTTCTCCACTCCCTCCACCTCGCGCTCCCACTCCTCATCACCTCCTTTCCCTCACCCTCTTCCTCCTCCTATGTCTACTCCTCCCCTTCCCTCCCGCCTCGACCTCCCCCCACCTAACCTCCTCTCCCTCCTTCGTCTCCCCCCATCGTCTCCGTGCCCCCTATGTGCGTACACATATATTATACATCACCCACTCCTCTCCTCCGCGTCGCCTCCTCCTCCTCCTCCTCCTTCTTTCCCTTCATCCCCACGTCCTGAGTCGGCCGTAGCTTGAGATCGACACCCGCTGTCTGCCCATTCCTCTTCTTCCTCCTCCTCCTCCTCCACCTCCACCTCCTCCTTCTCCTCCTCCTCCTCATCCTCCTCCTCCTTGTTTCCTTTTAAGTAACTCCTCCCTGTCGCACCCCCAGACGTGTCGGTAGGGCGGGCCAGGCATTTCACCTGAGAAACCCGCACCATTGATGGTCCTGGAACATTGAAGTATGCAACAATTTCAAGGATGGAGGGCGAGTCATTTCCAAAATGTGGCTCTCGTCTTAGCGCCGCGCGCATTCGTAGTAAAACTGTGCAACATATTCAAAGATGAAGGGTCGTGTTCAAACTTGTGCCTCTCGCCGTAGCCCCGCGCACATTCGCCTTAGACGTTTGCATCAATTTCAAAGATAGAAGATAGAGAGTGGACGGAATTGACATTGTGGCTCTCGCCTGATCGCCGCGCACATCATTCTGAAAAGTTTGCAGCAGTTTCAGGTAGGAAGAGCGGCTCCTTCCCGAAATGAGGCTCTCGCCTTAGCGCCGCGCGCGTTCGTCGCATAAGTTCGTAACTGATTCAACTATTCGTAAGGCCGTCGTAAGGTCGAAGTCCCAAGCATTGCGCTCTGGCATGATTTTGGATTGTCAAGGCACAACAACCACGTTGATTCGCGTTGGTGAAGTCCCGGAACTGGTGCTCGGAGTGTCAGGCCGCAACAATTACGTTGACTCTCGGTATTGAAGTCCTGGGTACAGTGTTCTGGTACGAGTGGGGGTTCTCCGACGGTCGTCTTTCAATGGGGCACTTCCGAAATGATAACAAATTCTTGCACTAGCGTATGAAGGGGGAACCTGGAGGAAGGGTGTATCGCAACATCGTTGATGCGTCTTGGGCTTACTCTGGTCCTCCTCCTCCTCCTCCTCCTCCTGCCACAGCGAAGACAAACACGTAGACGACATCGACGACGCTAAGTGGACAGCATCGACGGCGACGACGACGGTGGCGAGGTGACAGTAGGGAGGACGGCGGCGGCGGCGAAACGGACGGTCGGCCTGGCTGCCCTGGGGTGAGCCTCTTGGCGGAGCCGCCCGGGTCCTGACGGCAACGTCGCCGCCGCCGCCATCGCGGCTGTCGCCGTGCTCAGGCAGGTAATCCATCGCCGCCGTCGCGGGAGGAGGGAAAATGAGCACGAAAGTGCGACGAGCGGACAAAGAGGTGGATGAGAAGCAGGAGGAGAGATGGATGAGGACCAAGGGGGAGGAGGACACATATGGCGATGGTGGCGGTGGTGCTCACGAAAATGACGATGATGATGATGATCGTCATGATGATGATGACGACGATGATGATGATAATGCTAATTATGATGATGATGCTGATGCTGATGCTGATGCTGATGCTGCTGATGATGATGATGATGATGATGATGGCGATGATGTTGACGACGATGCTGATGATGGTGATGCTGATGATGCTGTTGATTATGACGATGATGATGCTGTCGATGAATACTGAGGCTGACGATCATGCTGGTTATGATGCCGGCGACAACGGCAACGATTATGACGCTGGTGATGATGACTGAATAAATAAGAAGAGAAAGGAGAGGATGAGAGGGAGACGGGGGAGGCGGGAGAGATAGGAACTGGGAAGGTGGAGGCTGACGAGGGCCTCCACGGGGCATCGCGAGTGGCAGCTGCGGCTCGGGCGCGGGCGGAAGCGGCTGCGAATCGTCCCGCCCGCGAAACTTCAGGGCTGAACGACTTCTTTCGTCCCTCGACTCGCACTGGATCTCCCGCAATTTCTGCTGAGAGTATTTGGATGTCCCTGGGTACACCTCGGCCTTCCTGGACGTGCATCGACTTGCGAAGGCTAATCTCGATTCGCACGACTTGATCTCGAAAGTCGACTTAAGAGGAGTCGTCAAGCCCTTAGGGAGCAGTTTCGGCCAAGGCGCGGGCGGAGGCGCCGGCGAATCTGCCCGCCGGCGAGGCGGCGGGCGAGTACGGCTCGGAGCATCGAGCCTGTGCTTGAGAGACCGCTGTCCCTCTCATTCGCGGTCCGTACCCGATTGTCCTGGTCCTGATACCGTGCAGCGGGAGCACGCTGAAGCACGCCCTCATCTTCTGTTTCATGAGAGGCCTTCGCTTCTTCTTTTTCAACAGCAATATGTCTAATCAACTCAGCCACCGTCTTCACGCGCTGGCCCACAAACGGACGTGAGAATGCAATGAGTATATACTCGGCCAAAGGCGAACGCTGATTCCTTTTGAAACGTGGAGTCGAAACGACACGGCGCAAGAGGGGGAGAGGGGGGAGGGAAGCTTGAGCAAATATATAATGGAATACAAGGGAGCGTGACAAAGACCAGCTGGGCCCCTCAATCCCGTGCCCGTCTGCAGGCATACTCCGCACTAACATGAGAGGCCTTCGCTTCATCTTTTTCAACAGCAATATGGCTAATCAACTCAGCCACCGTCTTCACGCGCTGGCCCACAAACGGACGTGATAATGCAATGAGTATATACTCGGCCAAAGGCGAACGCTGATTCCCAAGTCGTCCCAAAAGGGTAGTGAGCTTATGAGTTGATGAAGGAGAGGTAGATCACAGTGGATATATATGCCCATAGTGGTGAGCGCGCTGATAGACTGCAGTACTGCATAGTATTTTAGCCAGGAGCTGGGAGAGGCGTGGAGGGTATGTCTGAGCCTGAGACGTCATACGTTTGCCTTCTAGCTCTACATGACGCTTTCCAGAGAAACAGCATGTCCCCCGACCGTGGCACACGTATTGGTCGCACAAGCTGATATCAAAGGGGTCGCAATTTCCAAACATGAGACGAGTTCGTTTTCGCCATGGTGTTCCAAACGCACACTGGTCGATAACCTTAACAGACACCTTGGGGTCTTTTGCGAGCGCCAGAAAGCCAGGAACCCACCAAAGGACGCTGGTGTTGGGATTCTCGACGGCCCAAGGGATACCCAAAGCGTGGATGTACCGAATGAACTTGAGGATTCGCTGAGCTTGGAGATTTCCGCTCCTGAGGGCTTCCAGGTCATTAATTGAAAAAGGTTTGGCTGGACTCGTAACTCCCCAGGGCTCCAGTCGCGAACGGATCACATTGGTTCGATTGCGAGCGATGCCCCAAGACCGGCACTCGATAGCGATCATGGCTGCGACTAACTTGCGTGCTTTGGCCTCTGAGCAGAGAAGCTGGATGTTCTTCAAAAGTGTCAGATCCAAGGCGTCTGAAACCGACTTGTCCCACAGCCTGGCCCGGATACCGCATCTACCTGCTGCGCGACCCACTCCGCCTGTACCCCCAAAAAGGTCAGCGAGGTAAGGCGTCGATTCTTTGGGGCCGAGCTCAGGATGTCGGGCAGTCCGCTGGCCGAGGGGTCGATCTGGTCGCACAAAGGGGGCCCGGGAGGGAGCTCCCGCTTGCACCCGTGAGACGCCGACGAGACGATCAGCTGCTGCTCGGAGGTGTGCTTGACAAGGCTTGTGCTGCAGTGCACTAGCGCGCGTAGGTCCGCCTTCCACCTTTTCCTGCTCTTGATCCTGGCCCAAATGCAATACTTCCCGGCGGCGACGATGGCGGCGTCGGAGAGCTTTCCCAGAAACAGCGGATGGAGGCGCCGCCGTGAAGTGTCCCACGCCATGAACTGGCGCGGGTAGCTGTTGAAGAAGAAATTGAAGACCCTGGCCTTGTGCTTGTAGATGCCCATGTTCAGCACGAACACACGGCGGGCCCGGCTCGCTGGTGTGAAGCCCGAGCAGGTCCATGAGGCAGAGGGGCCGCCGCACGAGGTGCCCCGATGCCGTGCCCGCGACCGCGGCGCCGCTGGCGTTGTCATGTAGCCGCTCAGCCGGGGCGGCGTCAGGCTCCCGACATGCTGCAGTCCCCCGCGGCCCTTGCAGTCTGCGTCCTTCAGGAAGCGGAAGTCCGGGCGGCGGAGCAACCGGCCAGGTGCGCCACCAGGACCTCGACGCGGCCGCACCGCCGGCTCGCCCGCCTCGGCAGCCTCGCCGAGAGGCCCGCGAAGCAGCCAGTGTCGACCTGGAACCCGAGCTTGAGGACTGTCCCGCCCCAGCCTGGATGGTCGGGAAGCGCGGGGCCTCGCCGTCGGCGTTGTCAGAGACGTTGGGCTCCTGGCCGGGCGGTCCGCCCAGCGGGCTGAGCGCGGCGCGGCCGTCGCCAGGACTGGAGCCGGCGGGTTCAGCGTCACATTCGGGCGGTCCGTGAAGAGCAGGGGGATCGCGAACAGAGCCAAGATCAGCGTGTGAGCCAACATGTTCAACTGAGAAACGACGGGACGGCTCGTCAGCGGTATTCCACTCCGAGGGTATCCACCGAAAGCAGACACGAAGCCCCAGAGACAGGCACCAGGCCCCCATGCGTCTCATGCACATCAATGTCCTAAAATCCGAGGTTCGTCCCCGAGCGAACGCCAAGCACACCCCCATGTTGTCAACCAAGAAGAGCAAGCGGGCGTTCCTGACCTGGTACTCGCTCACCAGGGCCTGAAAACCTAGCACCAGGGCCCTAGCTTCCAGGGTAAAGATGCCCTCGTCAAAGTACCTCCAAGGGCCAGCCAGTAGGGTACTCCAGCGGGCCTCCGAAAGCAGCCTGTGAGGGACCTCAGGGAACCCCGTGTCGACGTCATATGGTCGGTCGAGGTCGTCGTCCCCCAGATCGGACTCCAGATCCTCTAAGGTCCCGAAGAAGCGCGACCGGGCCGACACTCCAGGAAGCCTCCGAAAGCGGCCCTTCTCCATGATCCCCCCCACCGTCGCGACGTCCCGGGGGTCCCAGGTAGAGATGGTGGCCCCGAACCCCTCCTCCGACGCGTCCGTGGCCACGACATTTGGGGCCCAGGGCAACGACCAAGAGGCATCCATCAAGAAGAGCAGGGAGGCCGCGGCCAGCATCTCCTGCCTCGCTGTGTCCCACAATGGCATGGGAGTGGCATAGTACTTACCTATGAAGGCGTAGATGCTTCTGAACACACTCATCATGCTCCGATTGATCAGGGCGCAGAAAGTGAGATGCCCAAGCAACACTTCCCAGACACGGCCCGGTAACTTCCGACACGACAAGGCAAACGGGACCCCCTGTCGAACTTTCCACAAGCGTGATGGTGACAACGAGACCCCAAGCCCCACCAGATCCAGATGAGTTCCCAGGGCCTTCGAAGATGTGACGCTCACCTCGTGCTCGTGGGTCACCAAGCCCGCGCTCTCGAAACGGCTGGCTGCGTCGGACAGGATGGACGCCGCATGGGCAGGATCACACGTGAGAATCCCAAGATTGTCGACATAGATGTAGTGACACACCCCTGAGCCCTCGAGCGCTTCCTGATCCTTCTCGACGCCCTCGCCCTCCGAAAAGCTGAAGACACCAGGCCTCCCTCGATCTTGGAGAAGCACTGAACCTCTAAGACCCGGGACCTCAGACAAACGATGCTCTCCGGCCTGCTGGCAGAAGTAGAGAGACCAAGACAACCCCATTGGTGACGAAGCCCAGCAGATATCAACCTGATCATCAACTCCAAGGGTCCCCCCACCAATCATGGCCGACCACGCTCAATTCCCCCGCCGTGGCAGCCCCCAGCCCAAAATAACTGGCCAGCCCCGCCGGGAGTCGGAAACGATGGAAAGCGTCCTTTACATCCGCCAGCCCCAGGGACAACTGGGCGCTACGAAGCTGAGAGGGAGAGAGACTCGAGCAACCACTGGGCAGAGAGACCTCGATCCTAGCGAGACTCTCGGACGAACAGAGATGGACTCCAGGAGGGTCAGCGAAGCGCCGATTTGCACGACGTGCATCAATTATGAGCCTACTCTTACTTTTTCCCGTCTTCTTCACGAAGAACATTCCGACTCGCTCCCGCGACGAACCAGCCGGCCAAAGCGTGGCCAGGCCGATGCGGAAAAAGGGCCCGCATGAGCCGCAAGAACTTGCGGCGGCTGCGGGAAAACACAGGGTCCCAGTTGGGAGTAATGGGGGGCAGCGACTCGTCACGCTCCAAAAAGTCCGAAAGTGGGCGCAGCATGCGCTCGTAGTTCTGCTCTAGGTACTGGCTCGCCGCTGGGCCCACCACCTCGTGTACCAAAGGGGCACCTTCGAGGCTATCAGGCAGGCTCACCGCGGCGACATTAGAGAAACTGGCAAGGTTGTGTCCACCGGGCTCAGAGTCATAGACTGCCCGGCCGTGCAGCAGCTCACGAAAAGCCGCTCGCTGACTAGGGATCGCGACGCCAGAATCCAAAAGGGAAGAAATCCTATCCCGGACGCACGCATGCACACTAGCCTGTTCCTGGGTTCGCGGCGGCCCGTACTCGGGTGAGTGCCGGTCCCCAGCCATCCAATTCAAAGCTTTCACAGTTGCATTGACATCTGCAGTCAGTCGGCGCAAGTGGCCCCTCAGGCAAGACGCCCGCCGGCCACGCCCGCTCGGAACGGTGGGCGCCGGCGACAGAGGAATAGGGAACAGCGGCAGCATCGCCACGCGCCTCACTCGCTCATCACCGCCCACCGGGTCTGGGCCTCCAGCGTCGAGTCGACCAGCCTCGCCGCCGGCCCGGGCCTTCACCCCAACGGCGACGCGGCGTCCTCCACGATGTCGCTCGGGTTGACCTCCGCGGACGCCGGGGGCCCCCGAGGCGAGCGCGGCGGCTGGTCCAGCGATGCTCCGTCGCCGTCATCTTGGACCGAGCCCGCCGAAGCCGAAGCCGCTGCCCCTGCCGTCCCCAACCGCGACCACTCATCAGCCGGGTTGTCAAGGGCGACCTCGTTCCCGTCGATCAACTGCGTCACGTGGAGCGCGCGGCGGCCAGGGCGCGGCACCGCGGCCGGGTGGCCATTCAAGGCCAGGCCGAACCCCTCCTCCACGATCACGCCTGCATCGGCTCCGGGCTCCTGGTCGGGGATCCCCTGGTTGAGCGGTGCCATCAGGATCATGCGGGCCTCCCCGACGTCGCTTGCGGGCGGGCTGGGCGTCTCAGCCGAGATCGGATAGCGCCGGCGGCACATGCCGCACGCCTCGTCTTGGCTGTCTCCCATGAGCCCACAGAAGCCGCACCAGAAGAAGGCCCCATCCGCCACGATGGCGGTCGCGGTCTCCCGGTCGAGGTTCTGGGCCCGCATGCGGTACGCCACCTCCGCCTCGCTGACCCCCGGGAGAAGGGATGTAGCGCGGGCTAGGTGGGCTGGCAGGGCCACCACTGGCGGCCGGCGGCGGGCTGCCCTCACCGCGGCTGTCACCGCCGCTGGACTGGGTGGGATCGTCTTCGTCATCACCGGGGAGGGACGGACCACCATCGTCGATCAGGGCGTCGTCCGCGGCGGCCCTCTCAGCGAGGGACAGAGCAGCCGAGGTGTAGTGCCCGTTGATGGGAGTCGCCTCCTGTGACAGGATCTCTGGCAGCACGGCGCCAGTCCTCACGCGGACCTCCCCGCCTCCACCACCGGCGCCTCCGCCCAGCGGCTCCGTCCAGAACGTCCCGTTCTGATCGAGGACGCCCACGAAGAAGGGCCCGGGCGCGGCCTCCACGGACGGCGGGTCGATCAGCTCCTCGTCGGCGCCACCCGCGGCATCGATCTCCGCCACGATGTCGGACGCCTCGTCGCTTTCGCTGCTGTCCAGGTCCATGTCGGGGTTGGCCGTCCCGCACAGGTGGCACTCAAGCCCGCACCTGTTCCACGAGCGGCACTGGCCACACACCCAGCCCAGAGGGGAGTCAGGCCCTACGCTTGAATCGCCTGACTCGGCGCCTCCGCGGACCTTGCGGGTCGCGAGGGCCTCGGACTCGGCCCCGATGCCGTAGGTCCTGAGAGGATTCCCGTCCAGCATCAGCCGGTTGTGAACCATCAGCACAATGTCCTCCCTCGGCGTACAGGTGGGGCGCCCGACCCGCATGCGGAACGATGCCACGTCCTCGCCCAGGTCCGCGGAGATCCACTGGCGCCGCACCGCCACGTCCAAGAACGACCGGACGACGATGGTCAGCGGCTCCTCGCGAATCGAAGGCCGCGAGGAGGATGGCCGGCCCGCCTCAGGAGCTCCCACCGGGCGCGCGTCGCCGGCCCCTGGGAGGCGCCCTCCCAACGGAGGTGCGGCGCCACCGCCCGCTGCGTACACCCCGGGAAGCTGCGAGCCAGCGTCGATGTAGGCGCCGCCGCCGGCCTCCTCGACCGCAGGCGTCACCCACTCCACCGTGGCTCCGGCCTGCGCCCGCAAATCGAGCTGGTGCCTGAGGAGCTCCAGCTCGAAGTCCGACTCGGCCACGTCGCCGTGCTCCTCGAGCTGCTCGAGGAGGATCACCTCCTCCACGGCCGGGTCCAGGCCGCTGCTGGAGCCGGGCGCGCCACCACCCGACATGTCCGGCGGCCAGCCCAGCCGCGAGCCGCAGGGCCGCCGACGCGCCAGGAACCGGCGCCGCTGCCGATGGGAAGCCCGGCCGCCGCGGCGGCGAGGAACCTCGCGAAGGGGGCGCGTGCGAGCGAGCCCGTGAAAGCTTGAGCAAATATATAATGGAATACAAGGGAGCGTGACAAAGACCAGCTGGGCCCCTCAATCCCGTGCCCGTCTGCAAGCATACTCCGCACTAACATTCGCCTCCTCCCTCCTCCTCCTCCTCCTCCTCCTCCTCCTCCTCCTCCTCCCTCCTCCTCACTCCTCCTCCTCATTTTGTCTCCTCCTGGCATCCTCCTCCTCCCTCCCTCCTCCTCCCTCCTTTCCTCCTCCTCATCGTCTTCCTGTTCTCCTCCCTCCTCCTCCTTCTCCTCCTTCGCATCCTTCTCTCCTCCTCCTCATCCTCCTCCTCCTCCTCCTCCCTCCTCCTCCTCCTCCTCCTTCTCCTCCCTCTTCGTCGTCCTCCTCCTCCCTCGTCGTCCTCCTCCTACTCCTCCCTCCTCATCCTCCTCCTCCTCCTCCTCCTTGTCCAAATTGTCCTCCTCCTCCTTCTCCTCCATCTGCCTCCTCGTCCTCGTCCCTCCCTCCTCCCTCCTCTCTCCATCCCTCCCTCCTTTCCACTGTCTGCTTGTCGATACGTCCGTCCGCTGTACGTCGGTGCCTCTTTTTTCTGCTCTGTGTTTCGCGCTTGCTTTCTTCCGTCCTGTTGCACCTTTGCTTACATAAACTTCCATAGTGTTTTCCGGGGCAACAATTTGCTCCTTGTCCCAATTTCCCCTCGCCCCCGTTTCCCCTTCCCTCTGAAGCCAGTTGCTGTCCAATCTTCTTTGATGGTCCACAGCTTTGAGTCTCATTGTTGGATGGGTGGGGTGTGTTGGGAGTGGTCTGAAGGATTGGTGCATATTTCAATTGTGCTTAGCCTGTTCGAAGGCTGAGCAGAAAGTTGTGGATCACGATCCCGCCCTTCTCGCCGCGTTTCTTCACCCACTCCCGACTGCCTCCTCCACTTAAAGTGCGACTGTGTTTGCCCCAAGTAGCGGGGCCGGAGATTATCATGGTGGCGGGGAAGGGGGGATGCTGGTCGGGTTGTTCTTCTTGTCAAATATCCACATCTTCCGCTTTGCGGACTTGACATTGAGTGCGGGGGATCGAGTTTGTCGTACTCCCCTTCTTTCGCCCCACTGCGTTCCACCATCGCCCCTGCTGACGCGCGGGGTTCTGTGACCTCCCTGCGCGTACGCCTAAGGAAGGGGGGCAGGCGGTTGCGAAGGCAAGATGGGAATCTGCAGTCAGTGGTTATGGTATCCTGGCCCTTTTCCTTACTCCCTGGCTCAAGTTCGGGGGGGTAAGATGAGACCGCATAGCGGGCGCTTTGGGCTGAAACCCTGCAACAAAAAACATGGCATCTCTTGGGAGGGCGATGTCTGCTTCTGCCGGACTCCGCCAGCGGAGACGGCCTCGCTTTACGTTCGCCAGCTTCCGCCGCCTTCACACGATGACACCTCCTTCTATCCTCGACGGCGGGGCCCTTTGTGGAACGCCTCACTGGAGGCGGGCCGCCGGCGCGGCGCGCTGCACTGGAGACGAGGGCGCTTACGCCCGACCTTACGCGGGCAGCTTGCGCGCGACTGTCGGCGCAGACGACCCCGTTGCTCTCAGTTCGCTCAC